GCTAGAGCGTTGCAAGCTGAGTTGGAAGCAACAGCGATTGGTTTGTGTGAGGAACCGCAACTTACCAAGAAACAGTGTTTGCAAGCATTGAGGGCTGAGGGTAAAGGCGTAGGCCAGTCAGGAACGGTCCATGATCCGCCACCGGCGCCAAAGGCTACGGGAGGAAGAGGGGCTGAGGCTGGGAAGGGCAATCCAAAAGGAGGGAAGGCGAACAACCCTGCCGAAGCAGGGGGGGGGGTTCTCCGAGCTCTTCAAACACTTCTCCCTGCTCTTCAAACGCAAATCCTTCATCCAATCAGCCTGCGAGCGCAGTCTCTGCTTCAGGTAACGAGTAGCCGCCAAGGGAGTGTGCAGTTTTTATTCCGCGGACGCGACAGGTGCTCCTCGGAAGGATTCCGTAGCTAATCCCATGAGCCCAAAGGCATCGAAGTCCTAATCCAAAGGCTGCCGCTATGAAACCGGAGGAGATCTTGGCTAATGCTGAGGCTACGCTACAGGGCCTTGGGCTTTCCTGAGTCAGGGCTTCTCAACGGAAGTTGTCATGGGAGAGAGAAATCGTTGCACCCCAGCACCCCGGCCCCAGCCCTTCCTACAAGTCCTCCGCTCTCGAACCCCGTTTCTATCGAACTCGAATGAGCATGCGGAATACCCGAAGCCACCACGCCAAAGTTCGCGGAAAGCCCTTCGTGGTCGAGCCTCCCCCTCTTTTCTCCCTGAAGACTCAAACCTGTTTGGGTCTGCTGTAGCGGAGCTTGCGTCGCGGACATGTCTGACTTGTGACGATGCGCACTCCGCAAACCTCCACCCACAAGGGTCGGCGTTTCAAACGAGCTTTGTCCTACACCGGCATCCGACATCCTAAAACTCGCGTTGTGGCCTAGTTTATCCCGTTGCAGCAAATACTCCCGCCACAAATACATCCGATCCGCATCTGACCTACTCTGAGATTCGATACGACGCTTAACGACCATCATTTCGTCATCAGGCAGACACAAAATCCGACCTAAAAGATCACTCTCAGTCAAACGCGATTGTTCATGAACCCTTGCAGGCACTGACATCTCGCGACCGTCCTCCCTAGAAGGCGGAAGCAAATCTCCTATGTAGAAATGCTGACAAGCACCTCCAGGCTTCTCGGTAGGAGCTTGGGCAACGCTTCTATCACCACTACTTCCAGCCACAACGCGCTCAGCGCTAACACCCGATACATCCCTAGTCGGCGAGAATACTCTTGCTGCTGGGTAACTACTGCGGCCAGAAGATCACGCATCTGCTCAAGAATCAAGCGGTCTGCTTCCAGCGTGGCTCAATCATCCGAGCATCCACTTGCTCCTCATCCACATCCCCCGGAACACCACAATCTTCTACACTGCTAGCCTCTGCACCCTGCGCCACCAATTCCGCCCTTGGTCTCGCAGATGCCTGTTTCCTGGCATCCTCATCCAAGTGAGCCGGTCTATGTGTGCGCACAATTTTTGCGGGAGGTCCAAATGTTACAGGCACCCCTTCAGGATGTTGCAGCTGGAGCTCTTGCCCTTCCACAATCTGATCTTCTACATGCACTGGGGTAGCATCCGCAAGATGGGGAGGAGATTGTCCCTGCTCAATGTCTCTTGCCGCCATGGCCCGCTACAAGAGCTCAAGGCTCTTAACCTACTGATTTCCAAGTCGCGGTCCCTTTCTCGATGCTAAAAAGGCCTCAGTGTGCAGTGAACTGTTCGACCTTGGTATACAAGGTGCTGGATCTCCGTCCACCACACTAGCCTGGTATGTTCCAAGCTTTGTTTCTGCCCAACACTAGCCAGGTATGCTCTGTGAGCATTTGCAACCTTAAATTTTTTTTCGCGCGAGCGCAGTGAGCTCCCGACAGAACCTGGTACTTGATAAATAAAGAAAAACAAAAAGTCTGCACACACATGCGGCTCAAAACAACAGCACCACGTCAACCATGATGAGATTACCTCGCGCATTACCTGGAGAGGCTGAAAGCCCTGGTGCGCCATCATCTGGAACTAAAGAGGATCTATCCTTTGAAGAGCCTGTTGCTTAACAATTTGGAGATGGGCATCATTATTGTGATCAAACATAGTTATGGGTCCTGCTATTTGCTCGTATGCATCAGCATATGTCTCCAGCAGCCAGTCAGATTTGGGGCGACCCCACCCTCCTTGTCAAGACAGTCCTGGGCCTTAGGTTGTCGGAATGAAACACCACCTGGTTCAAAGGGTCTGATCTGGATGATCTCAGGATGTGACCAAAAGGTCTCAATTTCGCCTTTCTCCATGTGTCACGGAAGTGCTCAAAGTTACAGTGGTAGATCTGGCGTATTTCCTGGTATATCCGTTGATTTGTTTGTTCTCTGTCTAGAAAAGTCGGAGGCTTTCCTAGGATGCGTCTCAGGCTTTTGTTTTGAAATGCATTTAGTTTAGAGATTTCAGCGTTCGTCAGCTGTATACATTCAAGCCCATACCAAAGTTTTGATCTTATGATTGCGTTAAACACTTGGATTTTCCATTTGATTGATGTGATAGCCTTTTTCCAAAAGACCTTAAGTCGATTACACGTCGCTATACAATCTCCCAATCTGTTAGCTATTTCCGCCTTATTGTCGAATGTGTCAGTGAGTAAAGTGCCTAGGTATGTGGCTGATCTCTGTCTTGGGACTAGTCTTCCTGCAGCTGGTCCATCGGGAGAAAAACGTACTGATGAAACTCTTTGATTTGCTGTAAGATTCACGCATTTTCCATAATTCAGTTTCAGCCCGTAGTACGCACTATGCCTTTCAATTGCATGAAAGAGCTTGTTAATACATTGTGTGTTAGCGCCAAATATTAGCGTATCGTCAGCAAAGAGGATTTCAGAGAAGTACATACCGTCTAATGGCTGGAGTTGTCTTGGTGTACATAGTTCCATTTTAATGTCTGCGAACAGAGCTCCCATAACTAACACAAGCAAGTAAGGTGAAAGCGGACATCCCTGCCTTATGCCAGAATATTGAAATTTCCATTCCGACTCATTGTTCCCGGAGCGTACTTTGAACTCAGGATTAGCATAGAAATCGTTGATTAGCCTGTAAATTTTGTCTGGTACTTGCAAGCGACGCAATACTTCAAGCATCTTCTGTTGCGACACTTTATCAAAGGCCTTCTCCCAGTCCAATAGAATGAGAGTACTAGCAGTTCTTGACTTCTCCGAAATATCCTGTCATCTGCGAGCCATGAAGATTGCGTGGGAGGTGCTATTATGTTTGCGGAAACCAAATTGCGTGGTCATTCACCACGAGTCCAGTCCCTTGTCCAGTCTTTCTTTAACCAATGCTGCGGTTATTTTATAACATGTAATAAGTAACGATGTGGGTCGATAGTTTTCAAGCTTAGATGCATCCCCTTTTTTGTATATCGAAACTACAACTGCCTGCATAAGGTGATGATCCATTTCTCCTTTTGCTAAACAGACATATATATACGTATAGTTTATGTAAATATTTTTATTAATAATATTATTATCATCCTTATTATATATGCATATATAGAACATGACACATCTCTTGTACCCTTTAAGTATATGGTAAGAGCAGAGGACGATGCCGACCACCGCACAGCCGATTTCCAACACAGAGACATGCCAAGAGACCCAAGCACGGCATCCCATGCCGACGAATCTTGCAACAAAGCCCATAACTAAACTCCGATGCTCGTCGGCTTTTGACGAACATCCTAGTACCCTGCACAACCTCAAAAACTTAACCTGTGAAGCAAAAGACCCTGAATCCCGTGCAAAAAACCAAGACAAGAACAATAACGCCGAGAACAAGCCCAGACCGTCGCCCAATCGCAGCTTCGAAGCATGCAAAGGCACGGGAAAGAGCTGGAGATACAACAACAGTAGGCCTGCACACTGTGAGACTTGAAAATCGCCCGGTGTAAATCACGCGAAGTACCTTAAGCATCCAACGTTCCAACCCCGTTCCTTGCAAATCGGATCTGCGTATCTGTTGCAGTGTCCAACACGAAAGTCCACGTCGGCAGGTCCTGCACAGTGTTTGGCCGAAGCCCATCATAAGATGCGATGTGCAAGGTGTTCTGGAGGACCTTCAATCCAAAGACAAGGTTCCTGGTAACGGCAGCGATACGGAGAGGCGAGCGACGAAGAACCCAAGGGCTTGGCCGTGGCTGTGTATATGGATCGGCGATCGTCGGAGGGGATGGCAGCATCTGCCTGAGCGACGTCCATAAACATGGCCGTGCCTCTGCACCTTCTTGAGTGCCTTCGCCCAGGCCGCCACATACTGTGGCCAACATGGGCGGGAAGTCTCTCCTTCCGGGGCCGAACTCATTTGCTCGCCAGTCTTGCTTGTAGCGATGCCCTCCTGCATCGGGCATGGAGTGCCCAGCTTCTGGGAGGTGTCGCCATCGGCGGCTGTTGATATTGCTTTAACTTGGTCTCACCATTACTTGTGAGCCGCGCTACAAGTCTGAGAACTTTAAGGCAGGAGCCATGCATGTCTGGAAAGTCTCAACTTGCAGACTGGCCTGGCGTATACCTTGCATTTTTATTGCTACTGGTGTCTGCACTATGCATTAGCTGAGTGCCTGAACGGAGCTAACTGCCAGCCAAAACGAAAAAAGGCAATCAACACCTCTGCACTGGCAGCTAGGACATTGCATGAACTTGCTAAAGCAGTTCCTCAATGCAGCTGACTTGTCAGCAACCGGTTGGGCCTCATGTGGGCCTCCTGCGGGTGATGCAAGAAGTTGTTCTCGTGAACTTTTGCTGGCATGCCTGTAACAACGAGCTAACTTGCACACCCACTCATGCCACCTGACTCCTCCCTGTGCAGGATGCAACCAACTTAAAAAGATGGAAGCATCGGCGTCGCCGCGTGCTAAACATGCTGAAAAAATGGAGGCACTTCCTCGGAGCACAATCTAGCACCTCGACAGGTCATTAACATTGTGGGGCTGCGCGAGTTTTACGCGCCGGCATCATGCAATTGCGAGTCACAACTCCTCATCGAAATCGGTCTCTCTTTGAGGCTCCTTCAACGCATCAGCCAGTGCCTGTTGTTACTGGTTGCTGGCATGACGCAGCACCTTGGCGTGTCCTGAATGCCGACGTAAAGCCAGACTGAAAGGATCCCGCCAAGGCGACCAAGGATTCTGCACTCGATCGTGTAAAAGACGTCCTGCAGCAGGGACCAGCAACACCAAACACCTGCAAAACCAAACCGCGCTTTGGCTCTGTCCTCTTCGTCCGTGTCAATGATCTGCTTATACCTTCGCTGTGGGGGGCTCCGAACTCAACTGACTCTGCTGCGTGCTACCAGTAAATGCGAGAAAGCTGGCCACGGCCGTTCACTGTTACGCACCCTGACGGCATGAGGCTGCAAAACACAAGAAAGGCATGAGGAGAAGAGAACCTCGTGATGACGAAAATGTCTACGGGCTGGGATACTAGCATCAGCATAAGTTGAATCTCCTTTCTACATACACATGCATCTAAGCGCGAACCTTTCCACAACGGCAGACGAGTTGCTCATTGATCTCCATGAGGTATTGTCGAATACTTTCTTGATCGGAGGTGCAAAAATGCACTGGAAGACCACTGAACTTTTTCCCCCGCTTGATGGGGAAACTGTCCTGAAAACTCCGTCAAAGCAGATGATACGGACAGGAGAGGAGCCAAGCAAGGACTGCCAACCCCGAAATTGCCCGGATGGGAGGCCATGTAAGCATTGCAAAACATGCCACGACGGAAATGTCTTACCGTCACAGTGTGCCGTCAAACAAGCAGCACCAATCCCTGCAGAAGGAACTGGAAAGCAGCACCAGTGCTACCGAACGCGGCCATCCTACTGCCATCTAGGACCTGGGATGTCGCGACCCCCTACAGACCAGAAGATGCCAAGATCCAGATGACCCAACAACCAATAAACAAATCAAGGACATAGCATGGGATTTCGTTTGTAGTCTTTGCTGAAGGGGGCCGGGACATGCTTCAGTAATACATACAGCACTGGGGGCGAGGATGTACTGTACATCACATCCCTGGGCTGCTTCTACGTACAATCCATGTGAGTTTCCTGTTGCTTTCACTTTCCCCGGGTACCACCCAGCCATCTTCGTTTCAGATTGCAGGCCTCGAGCTCATGTGCTCAGAGCCGCAAGACAACTGTTCAGGTCGAGCTGAAAGCCAAACTGACAGACGAGTTATAAACCCTGGGCCGGCGTGCACTCCTCCTTCTTCTGGAAATCGTGGCACAAGCGCTCAAGCGACTTCCACAAGCGATCCTGCTCTTTGGCATAATCCTGGTAACAGCAGGTCGTGTAAAAACAATGCCTCCAGGTACACACCGCGCACCTTGTAACCACTGTCGAAGAAGGGAGACCCGTGCCGATTCCAGACTCGAAGGTTTAGAATTCGACCTTTGTTTTGCCGACATCTGCGGAAAAACGTGTCGCTCAAAGTGATTGGACAGCAGAAGATCTTTATCGCAATAGCTGACTGGGGCCACGTGCCAACAAAGTTGAAGAACCTTCAGGAAGACAAGTACAGCTTTCAGCTGTATTTGACAGAAACACAGATCAAAGGCGATGCACTTCTGCTGGTCAGTCATCTGCTCCCGGGGGTAGTCGTTTGGAATCTCACGATATCCCTCGAGGACCCTGCCATGTGACACGACTGTCGGTTGCAAGCGGTCAGCGCTGAGAAGCTCTCAGGCCTGGAAGCAGAAGGACTGTCAGGATCAATCTGTCTCCAAAGCTCATGGATCTCCAGGAAGAGTCGCAGCTGGTGCATGAGCTCCTCCAGGCAGTATCTCTGAAAAGCAGCCAGGCGCACGACGAGATGCCCAGCCTCGTTGTGGTCAAACATGGTGTCCATGCCTTTCTTGCCTCTATAGAGCTGCAGGTTCTGCATCATCTCCGTACCTTGGTGGGACCACTAGCAAGGATCCACGAAACCACAAACGACTAATGCAACTGGCGCTCGCAAATCAGCCTGGAGTTCATCAATGATAGATGGCCGCAGTTCCGGCTGAACCGAGACATTCGGGCAAATCGGCTGGAAGTGGAGGCTCCTGAGTTACAGTAGCAGGAAGAGTCCAAAAAAGACTCTCCTCGCGTCGACCTCCCGACATGTGCACAGCTTTCTTCCAGGAGTCTTTTCGTCATCATCACTAAGGAATGGTTCCCACGGAGGGCTTTCTGCATCTGTATCGTCGAAGTCCTCAGCTGCTTCGGCCCATGTCTAAACAAAAGCTCGAGCCTGAAAGGCTTGCATCACGGACAGCAGTCTGCCCAATGGACAGAGAAAATGAGGCAAGCAAGCAAGCGAGGAAACTCACAGTGCAGCACAGAAGCAACTGCAGCGTTCTCATGTGACTCCCATGTGGAGACGCAACACCGACAAAATGCAGGACGCATATGGACTCAGTTTCAGTTTCCTGATCGGCCCCTCAAACTGCAAGCAGGACTCGTATGCAATGCAAGCTGGATGGTGGTTCTGACGATTTGCCCACGCATTCTTGTCATTGAACACAACCTGTCCGCACGAGCTGCCAGCCGCTTGGAAAGAGGCGGGTCAACTGCCGGCCTCTATGGAGTCGTATGGCAGCCACGTCACCAGGGTATCTTCCTGTCGGCATGGCTGATGCGCACGAAATTCTGGCAATCCTATATCACCAGCAAACGTCCTGCAGCATCTTCCGTTTCGGAGCAATGAGGAGGCCCTGGCTGTCAACAGTAGAATCTCTACCATTACCAAGAAACCGCGCAAACACAATCAAAATATGCAAAGACACAAAACTGCCTCACGCTGCTCGATGAGTTCTCGCTTTAGCCTTTCACGGCCCGGTTCCTCATCCTTCTTCTTGCCTTTATCTGAACGCATCTTGGGCTTGGGCCTTGTTCAGTTCTGATGATGCTGATGAAGCAGAGTGTTCACAGCAGGTTCGTAGGCTCCCGGCATACGCCCCACAGTGGGCAGACTTTCCATGTCCTCCAAATGGACTCGGGAATCTTCTGCTTCCCCTGAAAGCAGCGACACAACATGATCAAAGAGAGCAGTGCAATCCCGAACCGCACAACCAAACGTCACGCAGGAACGTCCTTCCCACTGCTGCTTCTCCAGATTTGTGTCTTCGTCCTGTTCTTCCTCTTCCTCGTCTTCCTCTTTGTCGTCTTCCTCGCAGTGACGCTGGAACCCACAGCCGAACAGATCGCCCAAACGACACGAACAGCCGAGATGTGCTTCAGCCAACTATCAAAAGGTGGCATGCTGTAGGAGGCTTGGCTCCTTTCCCAAGGTGGGCTCTGCTTTCCTTCTCCTCGCTTTCTTTGGGTCGTAACGATTTGGCAGGTGATAAATCTGCCGGCTGCAAGGTTCCCAGAATGTTACCCAACCTTTATGGCGCGTCATCACCCAGGTGTGCTCGATGAGTTGGTCTGCCTTGTCAATAGTGGCAACAGGATCTTTCGAGTAGACAGTGCCTTTGACGACGTAGGCATCCTCTTTGCAGCCAAGCAAAAGCGAGCAAAGCAGGACTGAGTGGTCCTGCGGTGCTCCCTTGCGTCGCGCCAGGACATACTCGGGGTCCTTCCAGCCGTCAGTCGGAATAAGACCTGTGCGAGCTTGGCGTTGGGTAATCTCGAATGATAAGCAATGCACCCATTCAAGCATCTTTGCGGGAAAGCTCCATTCCTCCGGCACAATGATCGGCGAAACGAATGCCATCAGCGGCGTTTCAACACGCGTCAGCGGATGGAGACCGATGCAGGGGAAACGTCGCAGTGAGTCGGCGGTTTGCATCATGCTCTCCTCTTTTGGCCTCTTGGCTCCAATTGAATCCGGGAAAGGCAAAGCATAGTCTTCAGCCTTTTGCCGGTTTCGGACGGTCCATTCCTCTTCTTTCTTTGCCCAGACAGATTCAGTATCAGCCTCATGTACTTCATCTTCGAAGCGGAGAGTTTCAGCCCAATCTGGGTAGAAGTAAGCCTCGAAATGTATGAGAGCAGCATCTTTGTTGGCCAAAGCTGATTGGCCCAAGGCTGTCTTGCTCCCATCATACACACGCACCGACCTCGGCTCTTCATACCACTGGTTGTGTCGTTCTTGCTTCTCTTCCAGCTCATTCTCCTCCTCCTCCTCGTCCTTCTTTTCTGTTTTCAACGGCCCCAGAAGGGTGCGCTTCTGGGTCGCCCTGACGTTCAGAATGTCACCCAGGGTAACCTGACATCCACCAAGGCAGTCCGCTGACGTCACGTCGTCATCCCACACCTGAATTTGCACGAAGCCCTTGCTGGTCAATTCGTACTTGAGGATTGTATCTTGGTGTTTCTTCTCTGCCTGAAGCAGTCATGGGAAAGTCACTGACTGAAGAAACACCGGAAACGCACGCACCTTGGAGCCCATCCGCATCTCAGGAAACACCACCTCGCATTGCAACTTGTTGATCTCGACCTGTACGACCCTTCGAATGCCTCCGACAAAATGTATGCAGCCGAGATGCCCTCACAGGGAAGTAGAAGCTCTGGTTGAAAACGGGACGCAGGGATTGCTTGACGACTGGTGAAAGCATGACCATATTGTCCCAGGTGCAACGCAGATATGGATCCTTGACAAGGCTCGGGCTGTGGACCCTACGCTGACGGACTGAAAGTAACCTGCCAGCACCCTGGATGTGCAGACAAGCTTCTGAGCTGCTTGTGTCAAAGTCCGCCACGGGCAGTGCTTCACATTTCTTGATGCCTTGGCATGCTAACTCCAAAGCGCCTTCGTCATCGACCCGTAACACCAACCAATTCTGCGGGCAACAACGCTTACCATGCTGACTAGCGGCGCACCACTAAGTACCTCTCGTATCGGTTCAAGTGGGACACCTGGGCCACGCAAGGAGAACTGCACGACTGAGCATCCATCCGACATGCAGAAAAGGCACGGTAGTGGCAGTTTTCAGTTGCTCCGGCCGGTTAGTGCGGAAGTCTAACTCGGGCTCCTGGACTAAACCACACTGCGGTTGAAGCAGCAGAGCTGGACGCAAAAGACATGTACTCCTTCATGCCCTTGGAACGCAGTATACACTTGACGTTGCCGTTGATATCACCGACAATGTAGCGATCATGATCTGCCGTGAACCTCTTGACCTTGCAAGGGTCTCACACTCAGGTCTTCGGCTACAGGTGCCATGAAAACTCGGCGGCGACAGCAAGTGCTTGAATTCTATCTAGGGCCTTCCCCTGGAATACTGACATGTCCAATACCTGCAGCTGAATGACACAGGAGCCAGGGGGCAAGGGTTTGTATTCCTTCGTGGGTGACTTACTCTCTGCGTATGCCGGCTATGTCACCGAAGTTAGGTTGAGTAGACATCGGCCAAGGACTCGGTGAGGTTGTGCAGGCGCATGTTTCTCCAATCTCTGTACAGTCCTGAGATACTGCAGGTGCCTGTATTCAAGATGTCGGGACAGCAGGGACACAGGCAGGCCATACTATGCTACTCAGCATCGCGTTGTCCGCGAGAAACGCCGGAGGCTTTCCAGTCAAAACCGAAACGATGAAGTAGGAGTTCTGCAGGTGAGTCCGTGTACCTCGGAAGACGAACTTCCCACAGCTCGGCCAGAAGAAGCGACCATCCTGTTGGTTCCACTCCTTGGCCACCGCGAATGTGCAAGAATGCAAAACACGGCCACCTTTTGCCGAAGTCTCCACAGTTTGCGATGCGGCACCCCTGCCAAGATATCGTCGCTGCCCAGGAAGTGTTCGTCGGTCCTGTCGGTACCCCCAAACCACCACGACATGTGGAGACAACTCCAAGCATCCCAAGCACCCCTCAATAGCTGTAACCCGGTGACAGGCTCCAAAGCACCACGCAGCGTTCTCGCTCCGAAACTGGTCTTCAGGTAAGGTCACCTCCTCAATAGAGCGAAACTCGGCCCTGCACACTATAATAAAAGGCCCCCCCAACTCAATAGAGCGATACTCGGCCCTGCACAGAATAATAATGATGATTTAGTCCCCTCAATAGTGCTGAAGTCCCGTCCGGCCTGTACGGCTGTACTACGGCTGTACTACTGCACTCTACTGTACTACTACTGTACTACTACTCTACTACTACTGTACTACTACTGTACTACGGCTGTTCTACTGTACTACTACTGCAATACTAGCTACTATACTAGCGTACCACTACCGAGAGCCCCGGCCCCCAAACAAGTTCGACCCCCCCAAAACAAGTCCGCATCTTCAGAATAAAAACAACCCCACACTATTCCGGATTCCAGGTTGTTTGGGGGGGTTTTATAATCAGGAGGTCAAATTACTCAATCCTTACCCTAGGCCCCAGCAAAGTAAATTCACATAGGAACTGTAGTTTGCCCGGGCGGGTTTAAATCGACGGGTTGGCTATTGTTGCTTTGGAGCGGGAGCGACACCGATCACACCTGGCAGCACCGATGCTGGGTAGATGCAGCGAAAATTATGGAATCCTTATGCAGAGCCATGCAGGACCCATTTCTGCAGTAATGCTTCACAACCGGTTGCCTAGTATCCGACCTACAGGATCCACTCCAGTGGGGGCTCGTTGACAAATCCTGTGGCCGGCCTGGTGGATTCGATCGCAAGAGTCTTCGTAGGTTCCCGGTTCCCCGCATCAAACACAAATGTCTCATTTTGTTGGTACGTGCAAAAAGAATCCTTTGGCAAATCTCGAGAAAGCCTGCGGAGCCACGGGGAACACTTTTCACTTTACACGAACTTCAAATAAATATATATATATATACAAAAAAAATATATATATATACACACACACATATATATATATATATGTGCCCGATACCTTTAGGGTCTATGTAACAGCGGTTTGTTATCTTCAGCACATAATGGAAAGCAAAATGTAAGGTCTAAGCACAGCCCACATTGCAAGGCCATAACCCGAAATGTTTCAGACCGACTGTGTTA